TGTCCCGGTCATGCTGTGATGGTGTCCTGGTTATGTTTTGAAGGTGAGCCCGGTCATGTTTGGATGGTGTCCAGGTCATTGATGCTGGTGTCCCCGTCATGTGGTGATGGTGTCCTGGTCGTGTTGCGATGGTGTCCCGGTCATGTTGTGATGGTGTCCCGGTCTTGTGATGCTGGTGTTCCGGTCGTGTTGTGATGGTGTCCAAGGAAGAGATGGTCGATGTGTTGAAAACAGCAGTTGTTTCCAGATTTTTGTTGTCCCAGTTTGTATCTTGCTGTTGGGGTCTCCAGCTGGGCTAATATTGTTTTTGCTTAAAAAGATTATTCTGGCTCCTTGTACCCATGGCTGGCGTGCCCGACTCAAGCTTAATGACTGTACCTAAAATTGCAAATTCTCAATAACCGATTGAAAATGGTTTCTCTTTACAGGGAATCGTTTGTTTTGCAAACTGCCGAGTGATTCTCCTGGGAGTCAATACGAACAACTCGATGGAAAGCATCGGTCTGGAGAAAGGCACAAGCCTCACAAGTGGAGCAGCACACTGAGATTAAACGTTTAGGCTAGGCGGTTGCGCATCACGTTGATAGATTGGTTGAGTGCACCAATTCTGTTTTGCTACAAAAGAATCATCGTTAAATTAAACAAGGCATACGTTGATCTACTCGTCGAACTGTTTCGCCGTTCAGGCGATATACAGAAATACACTGCCCACGATGTGAACTGGAACAAATCGTCAGGTAAACATGTTGGCAACAAATGCAATCCCTCTCCTGTCTGGAATTGCTTGCATCTTCCAGCACTGCTTCAGCTATAGATCGGGAGCTGACCTGCTGGCACTTGAGGTTGCAGGGGTGACGACAAAAGCTGGCAGAAGGGGCAAGACTTGGAACAAGTCATTTGGCACCAGGTCAATCAGGCCACGATGATGGGGATTGGTGGAGAAGCGACATGAGATCTTACAACCACACGCGAGGTGATGTGAATTGAGCACCCAATTTTTGGAGAAGAGATGCATGAGATGCTCTGCAGCTAGCTTACGGTATGTGTTATAGCAGTTGGACTGTTGGACCCGAACAAGCCGAGATCACATCAAACAAGATTTTAAAATACTAAGTAAAAAGCAGGAGAGATTGACTTTCCGGCCTCGCATCCTGTGTGGTCAGGATGGACGCAGTATACACATCTTAGCCACGCAAATGCTGCAGCAATCACCTAGGCCAGCGGCTCTGCAAATTGCTCCGTCAAATCCACTTGGACAAAACAGGTCATGTTGCCCTGTACCTTCGAAAAGCGTGTGTCGTGTCAGACTGAGTGGTGCACTGGCAAACTCCGATGGCTTCGGATATGCATAGAAATGCAGCCAGCTTTTTTGGCCAGCACTTGATCTTCTGTCGTGAATAAACTATATCAAGTAGATTTGTAAAGCGGGAAAGGGTTGACTCCCGCTCGAGCCGAGCTGGCTGTGGACTCACTGAGCTTTCTTCGCACATTGCTGCCCAGGCTGACCCCACTCTCTCACATTTATGACTGGGTCCTACGGTCCAAAATCCTTATAATGATGCACATATATGCACATATATAGTTAAGTACCTATCTCCACATGACTGTGTGGGTGGTTGCCAGCTGGCGTGACAACTTGACACACTGAGGAGACAGCAACAGCTGAGAAGCCAAGGCAAAGGAAGTAACCTCAAATGATCGATTCATGTACGAGCCGCCATGCCTGCTTGCATTCACATGGGTTAACACATTGACCTGGCCAATTAACTCATGCAGTTTGCTTGTAAACAAATCAGCTCCTTGTCCTTTGTCAATGCACCTTGCGCCACTGTACATTGCAAGAGTTGTTGCCTATTTAAGGCGAAGCATGGTTCCCAGTGCCATCACACGGGAATCACAAGCGACAAGCTTCCACAGCCAGGAGTGTTGAGTCTGGGCCAAAGATTTGCCCGGGCTACGAGAAACTTTGCCAAGCTAAAAAGAATGTTCCCGCTTTTTCGCCCAATTATTGCCTGGCTATCATGACTCATAATGCGGTGGATTCGCATGCTATCGTGCACCAGCATGTTCCCGCACAACCTCTCCCTCTGTGCATGGTATATATTTTTTTTATTTATACAATATTTATACAATATTAAATATATATATATACCTAATGTATATGTATATATGTTAAAATATATATATATATACATATCATATTGTGCCGGTTTTATGATTGACCATGTCTTTTTGGCCCCTGCACAGGACTACAAAATACTACAAGTCATGTGCTTACTTTCAACACGGATCCATGTTCGCCCTAAATCCCCTGCTTGGGCCCATGATGTCACACACACACACACACCCCACATGCTTGTGGATACACAAGCGACAGGCATGAAATGACTATGCAGGCGCATGCTAGCGCACTTGATGGATCCAACGTATACAAGGCCAATGTACATTTATGCCGCTAGTGTTGAGCAAATCTACCCTTGCAGCGACTCTCCCACGTCTTTGTAATTCATGGGTCCGGTCAACAGTCAACTTTGTAACATGTTGTAACCCTTGTTCGACTGTGGACTCAGGTGTTTGTTGGAAAAGCGTCACCCAAATCTGAATTCGTGAGAAGCTTGGTGCGTTAACTGCAAACACAAGACTCTTAGCCATTGCTAAAGGCAATGGAACGTGTGCATGCAAAATTCGTTTGCTGAGCAAACTCCCTGCTCTGTCACGAACTGTATGCACCCAACAACTTGCGGATACGAGCGAACAAGTTTAAGATATATATATATAGTTTAAATCTGAGTGATCCATTCCAGTGTAAGTCTCACTGAAATGCGATCCGCATACAGTACTCTGAGCCTTTGGCAGGGTTTGGGTGAAACCAGCGAAGTAGAAACATCTTACATCGACTTGCCATAAGTGGAGAAGCACTGCTCCTAACTGTAGCCCCAATGAGCACCTTCCTTGGTGAGAAGCATCGGTTTGTGCGTCATCTTGTGAAACTGGATGACCGAAGCAAAGTGCCCATGTAGATTGACCCATTTGTGTGCCCACTTGATAGGGGCGGCCAAGCGGCATTGATGAAATAGGTTGGTCCTTTGCAGCTTCGGTCTGATGAGTTGAAAACTCTGTGTTTATTTTTGCTACTACCATTTTTTAAGGCAGGATGTAAGAGGTAGGCTAAAGCTATTAAGTAGTCTCCACTGTCCAAAGCACCATTGATCAACAACACACACTATTAGGATCTATTAGGACGCTACTAGCTAGGACACAGGATAGTTCACGCTTCTTCAAGGAAGCTGTCGCAGCCTGGGGGCACGGGGGAGCTTCCTTGAAGAAGCGCCCGCACTAATCCTTTGGTTCCTAACCATGCTTCACTCAGGCGGACATCTAGGGCTCTCACCAGCACACTCTATATACTCATCTCTACTCTATCCGTTTTTATCCTCTGCTTTCATAAGAACTTGCGTCAAGACACGGGTGCGGCTGACTGGTGGCAAAGTCGGAGAAGGAGGAGACACCAGCTCTGTTCCAAAGAGCGGCACCAGCCTGCACATTTGGGAGCTCGAAGTGGACAACTACTGTATATATACTGTCAGCAGGTGACATGGGTACTTTCCAGAATCAGTATGAGCAGATGACATGGGTCTGGAATATGGGTGGTGAGAGTCATCAAAAACAAATGACATAGGTTGGCGGCATGGTTATCACTTAATCCACATCCACTTTGTCATTGGTCCCGTGCAAGCAAGAAACGCTTCCATGGTAGACGCCCTTATTCTACCAACTTTCCCACTAGCGTCTTCCGGTCTTCATGGTCATGAGCTAATGCGCCGTCACACCACAAAACAAATCACTCAATGTTTCTATTGTTCACAGTGTGCCATGCTCTGTCCACAAAACAAATGACATGGGCAGTTCTATGCGATTCTCAATTTCAAGGTTCACGGTGTGGCATGTTCTGTCCCAAATGACATGGGTTTGATTATGCCGGTAAGGATAGTTTTGAGAGTCGGTCACTTGCCTAGACATAAAAGTTCGGTGTTTGTAAGCCGATGTCATCCGCAATTCTGGGATGCAGTCAAAGTTCTTTCTTTCCATGTTAACCTCAGGTGGCTCACAAAAGGTCTGCTACTTTGGCATGGATGCCCTCGGATGGCTCACAAAAGCTACCTTGGAATGGCTCCTTTGTCCTCTCAATTTAGGTTTGCCAGATCGGAACTCCTTTCTGCTCAATATTTTGCCCTCTGGTGGCTCATACCGGAGACAAAAAAAACAAAAGAAAAAAGAAACAGAAAATAGCCACGAGACAAGAAAAAACGGAACATAAGAGTGAGATGACACAAAGAAAACAACAAAATACAGAAATCACCGAGAAAAAACAAAATCACGAGACAAGAAAAACAAAAAACTGTGAGAGATCACACAGAAGAAAGAAGAAGAAAAACAGCAGCAAAAGAGCAAAAACACAGCCAAAGAAAAAAAGAAAACGAGACAATAAAAAACAGTGAGAGATCCCACGGAAGAAAAAAACAAAAGAAAATCAAAATGCCAAGAAAAAAAAGGAGACAAGAACAACCACCAAAAATGAAAAAAACAGTAACAAATCACATAGAATAGAGAAAAAAAACACAACTTAAAACCAAACAATACTCCTTAAAATTAAAAGAAAGTGACGGATCACAGAGACAAATTTTATAAAAACCAAACCAAACAATTGAAGCACCTAGATGACGAGGAAAAGAAACCAAAATAACAAAAGTGACAGAAAACACTGCTCATCACTGTTCATATGGATGCAGCGGTTGTCAAACCGAGATTTATCTCACGCGTTCCAAAACGAGATCAATCGCACGTTCCAAAACAAGTGGGTTCTTCCCTAAACCATCCTGCTATGCTCCTCGTATGCCTCGCATGTTGCTTTCACGGCCATCTCGCCTCTCTTCTGTCAAATCACCACCGCGAGCAAATCGCCAATGTTTCTCTCCCTGTGGTGGGCCTACAACTTCGATGGACATCTCATAGCCTGGCAAAATCGCCATCCGCTATTGTTTCAATTCCGTCTCGTCTCAAAGAAAAGAGACTGCAAGTATATAACCCTGCTGGCATTGAAGTAAATCTGACATCTGAGGTTCCAGCTGTATGCAGTTACCTCAAAGCGCTTGACTTCGGATTGAGCACCATTGACACGCCGGACCCTTGCGAACATCTCTGACGTTCTATCGAACGTGACCTGAGGCGTTGCTGCGGGTCATTTACAGGATCTTGATAAAAGCGACCATCGCCACGCAATGCCAGCAGCACACTAACACGACGAATGCAACGGGCATGACAGTAGCAGTAGAGTGGGAAGCAGGAATACCTTAAGCAACTTCACCACCGACTGCCCCCTTCAAAGCCAAGGACTGACCTGTCCTGGGGTAGCCGGATGGTGAAGTTGTTTTCAAACTGCTGGTGGTACCCGACACATGCCAACGTTGGAATTTTGCCCCACCAGGCCGATCTTTTCCGCTGTGGTCACCTTGCAGTCTGCCCCTTACACTCTTCCATAGACGAGCGACGATGGCCCCATCAAGCTCCGGTTGGAGACCAGCCAGTGGCACGCTGCTTCGCCCAGATCGGAAGGCCGCTTCTAATCGAGAACCAGCTTCCCTCTGGTACAGCTGCACTTCCTTGGAACCAGTTAGCCGAGACGAGACTCATTTCTGGAGCACGGAGGCAAATTGTGGCGAACCACTTGGTTGACAATTCCAAGTCACGCCAGTAGCTTGATCGATCGACATCCACACCTGAAGCAAACCAATTATAGAATACTATGAATGAGCAACTGGATGAGGCCGGGTCATTAAAATTTGTTCAGTCAAGTTACCTTTCCTGATTTTAACCACAAAAAGTAGCCCTCTGGTAAAAGCTCTCTGAGGCGACTGCTGATCGAATTTCTCCTCGCTTGTGGGCACCTTTGAGGAATGCCCTTGCAGCTCGCTTCGCTTCAGGGGTCTCCTGGGCCAGCTAGAGCCAATGCAGGCGGTTTCAGAGCGGCTTTACGATGTGAATCTTGTGTTGCTTTCTTCGGCCACCTCCCTGTGAGATCCTTCGAGCGCATTTCACTTACCCTATGCTTCAATGCCCAGCGATGCTCAGCCTCGCTGTAAACATTCCAGGTCTCCACCATGAGGAGACACAAGACTCTGGATTGCGTGACCGGTGAACACCGCTACATCATTGCGGGAACTTCTATAACATTCTATAACCATGAACACACCTGAATCACAAGTGCAGCATTGTGCAAGTTTGTTGTGCGAGGACACGCTTTCCCCACAGAAAAGTATAATGGCGAAACACCCTGAGCAACCAATCTCCTCAGGCTCCTTTGGCCCCACAATGAACATAATATAAAGACAATGTCCACCCTCTTTCTCGTATTTTAAACAATGTGCCCGGCTTCTGGTCCTGCCGCAATATTTATAAACCCCACAGACATACCCAGAACATCCCAGAACACTATATTACGGAGGCACCCATGATTACGACATATTACGACGTTCCTAGCGTCATCGAAGTGCCCTCCAACTGCCACATTGAAATACAAAGACTTACGGCTTGGCATGTGACTTGCTTGACTTGCTTCGAGAAGTGCACTTGCGGACCAAACGACACGGGTTCCCTTTGCACTGTACACGCTGGTAAGTATGACGTTGGCCAAGCAGCATCTTCTCTGCCAGAGCGAGGTGTGTCAGTCGAGATTGGCTGAATGGCGCTGGACGTCCTGTCGTCATGTTATTTGCGATCTGTACGACAATGCCTAGCATCTTGACATCTAGTCTAATTGGCAAAGTTTGACAGAATCACAAGCGCATCACAACAAAAAAGAACCGAACACATCCACATGTCAGCGCCAGCGCAACACGACGAAATGCGCACTGCATTTGCATCACCTTGTGACTTCATCTTCAAAGGATTCAGCACGTCCAAGGCTGGACGCTCGCTTCGTGTACCATTTTCTCCTCAAACAGCAGTTGGCTTTGTTCCGTAGCAATCTAAGAAAAGGTGTCTGCGCCAAAACACCCCATGTAGCCAGAACATTTGGATACATTTAGAACAATCTCGGCTGTCTGTCATGACATGGCCTCCTGGCCTCCTATATATATAGTTGTCGTATGCTGTGTTTGAACTTCTCTCTGCTACAGAATTCAAATATATTCCAATTCTTCTTCCTTCGCTTGGTCGAAATCTACGACTGCCACGGTGTCAACGTCCTCAAACCTTGGAAATATATATATATATAATTCCGTGTCAAGCTGCTGCCCTTCTCCATCTGCATAGGTCCGCCGTGCCAGGTCAGCAGAACTTGCCTAGCAAGCTGGTCGTGTAATGTGACTTGGCGTCTGGTAGTCCCATGTCACACGGAAGGAACTCACCTGCAACCCAGTAGCACGCGTTGAAGCACTCCAGCTTCTGCGCAGCTTCGTTGTCTTGCGTCCACGTCCATGCTCAGGTGAGCTTGAGTCATCGACTTCAACTTTCCGAGGCAGCAAAGCCTTGATATAGACCTGAATAGCAACATAAGATTGGTAGTACCTGGTAGAGTCTTCTTGTGTTCCCTGTTCTTCTTTGGGGGGGTTAGGTATTTAATGTACATGTGTGTGTGTGTGCATGTGCAATACAGTAGGCAAGATCTACAATCTACAGAGTGAGCCAAAGCAAGCCTTCAAGCAAACATGCATAAGCTCCCGTCCGAGCAAGCGAGAGACGCATGTGCCGCGTGAATTTGCATCTTCACAGTAACAAGTGCATCACACTACTAGTAGCAAGTGCATGCATTACTAGTAACAAGAGGCTACTATTACTAGCAGCAAGAGCATTACTCAAAGGGCTTCACTCAAAAGAGCTTACTACTTGCAACAACAGGTGCATTACTACTAGTCACAAGTGCATTACGACTAGACTAGTAACAAGCGCATTACTAGTAACAAGTGCATCCAAAGGATATCTCCCAGCTTCGGTTCCAAAACGGGCTTGGGAGAGTTGAACAGTTGGTCTTGTCTCTTCTGGTGGAAATCGGCAGGAGGGAAATGAGGGAATCGAAATGGGTCAAACCCATTCTCCACTGATCCAGAAATTTGCATTCCATACTTACGCAGTCAGTCAGATCAGTCAGGGGAAGTTCACAGTTCACAAATTGTTCTGATGCAGCTTTCGCGTTGCCCAGCCCGCCTGGTTGAGCACTAAATCTTCCACTGTCAGCACGCGATCCTCATCTGGATGTTTCAAGTCCTTCCAAGGGTCGCGGGTGTCTGCACCTTCACGGCAGTCTTGTGCAAACTTGCTCTTGAAGGAGAGGTCCAAGGGAGGTGGAGGTGGCAAAGGTGCTGGCAAGGTTCGTTCAGGCATCTCCTGTTGGATGATTTGGCATTCTCGTAGTTTCTTGAGGTCACTGCCACATCTAAGCAAATCCTTTTCGGTCACCGTGATCTGCTCTCTCTGCTCCTTTTTTGGAGGGATTGGTGGGCGCTTCTTGGAATACGCTGCGTTTGGTTCAATCCGTGTCGTGCGAACCAAATGAGGTTGATGGATTCTGGGGCCAGTGGCAGCCGGAGTGCTGACTGAATACACTACAGGACCATCTCTCTGGACCTCCTTCTGTGGCACATGAGTCCACTCTAGCGATTGCCAGTTTTCTTTGGACTTCGAGCCTTCCCTGGAGAGGGAAGGGCGATCTCGATCCTCAAGCCTCCGTCGTGAAGGATCCTGAGACAAAGATCGTTCCTTTGAGTTTCTACGCCTTGTTTGCGCTGGACTCTTGTTGCTGGTGCTACCCCGTGTGCTCGGCCTTCTTTCTTCCAACTTCAACGTGGATTGGAGCTTGGGATCATCATTCAGCTTGCTGCCCTCAAGGTAGCCCAAACGAAGAGTAGAATTCAAAAGCATCGGCGATCTTTGCTGAGCAAAGACCCAACTCCCGAGTCCTAAGAAACGATTTGCTCACAGAGCGCCTTGAGCCTCTGATTTCGCACAGAAGGACTTGGATGTATGCAACTGTGTGATACTACGTGACTATGCGACACTCTCCACCAGTAGTCATTGCCTACTAAAATGACTGTGCAGTTACCATACAGTTATATAGTAGAACACACTTGCATAGCCTGGCACAAGGAAGAGAACACACAAAACATGCCGCCGCATGTGCTAAGGTGGCCTGGCTCAGGTGCGGAGGCAAAGAGATTGTTCAGCTGGGGCCAAAAGGACTGCGAGCAAAGTCAAATGCATCTATTTTAAAAGTCCAATGCATGTTCCAAACATATATTTTTTATATAATGACACCACAACCTGTGCCGTATATATTGCTCTATCCTCTGCATATGAATCAAATGTGTTCGCAAACAATGAGCAGAACGCGCCTTAAAAGTACAAAAATTGGAGCTCGTGATGATCATACTCTGGGCAGAACCTTCCTCTTTCGTCCAGACGCATTCAGTTGCCCCAGCACAAGCAGCGGGCCAGCAAGGATCCATCGAATCGATGGCAGCTAACAGAGATAAAATGGGAATAACTGTCCGACTATTCCAGTCGGATTGAGCTGATTCCGGCTATTCCGGTGGGATTGAGCTGATAGCCAGCCATGACAAAGGCCAAACAGTAGAATAGATTAATAGATAGTAGACTGTAGACTGTAGACTCATATTACTCCACATGCCTGAACGCAAACAAACGCTTCGCTTTCCAGCCCAATGTTGCAAACCTTGGCCTGCGAAAGCATGGAATCCAAAGAATTGTTTTCGCAATGAAAGTCTAATAATTACTATGGCACTACTCATGGCAGCCTAAGGAGTTGCCTTACACGTCTTGCAAAAGCTTTCTGCAGACATCTCTATATGACATTCGGATGCAACTCACGAATTCGTCAGCAAAATGAGTTCCGACTCAGTTCCGACTCAGTTCCGACAAGGTACTCTTCCGACTCAGTTCCGAATGAGTGGATCAACTCAGGCTTGCCATGCAGCCTTGGCAAGGACTGATGGGGCATCGACATTTGCCGGCAAAAACTCTTCAAACTTCGAGACTCAACAAAGGGCATCGCTACTAGGAGCAAGGAGGCATCGCTACTAGGAGCAAGGACGCTACTAGTAGCTCCTGGCATTACTACTAGGAACAAGAAGCTACTACTAGCAAGGACGCTATGAAACAGAACAACAACATGAAAAATGATGTTTGTCTCGGTCTTCGGTCGCGAGTGCTCGGCAGCAACAAAGTTGTTTGCAATTAAAATTGTGTTTGCATTTGTTTGATGACTTGTAAAACCTTGTGGATCCCCACACTGCTCTGCAATCGACATGGTGATACTCAGCTCCTTTTTGAACTGCGCAACGGGACAATCTTTGTGGGTGGATTTATGATCATGTATGGACAGCAAGTGAAAAGGCCGCTCACTTTGGCACAACCATCTGCGGCAATCGCTGGATACATATCTTCTGTTCTCGTGCGGACCTTGACTCCAGCCAGCAGTCCCCTGGACTTGCCTTGTTTGATTCCAAGGTGTCTTGTGGCCAGGATTGGGTCTAGCACAATGCTTCGTGACTCCATGGGCAAGCAGATTTGCAGTACAAGTCGCCCGTCGGGGCGGTCACCTGCTGCTTCAGTTGCGGAGGATGATGTTAACCTTCAGAGACATACAGTAATTATGTCTATTGTTTGCCTCAAAGCTCTGAAATTCCAGCACCCAGCGGATCGAATGGAGGTGGGGGTCGCAGCCACTCTTCACTGGGAGGTGTATGCAAAACTCCGATCAACTCAGGAAGGCACGAGGAAACAATGCTCCGAAGCTCAGTCTTGGTTTCACTACCGTCATGTCGCGGACGTTTGCAGCCCTGCATCTCGCACTGCGTCTCGCTTGACGTGTTGGGCTCAGCTACTTCACTTGCTGAATCCTCAATCTTTGTTTGCACAGCCTGGTCCAGGCTCTTTGCCAGCTCAATTTGCAAAGGATGGAGCTGCTGCCGCACGTGTTGCTGGATTTTCATCTGTTGATCATCAAGAGGAGGGCGCAAGCGTCGCCCACAACGAGCCAAGCGCGAGGCGACCTCCAAATGCTGCTGCTTTGCTCGATCCTGCTGGACAGCTGCACAGGTGCCTTGTAGGGCACACCTGCCAACTACAACTGGCCAGCACAAAGCACACCACCCTTCTGCCTTTCTGATTGGACTGGGGGCATCTCTTGCATCTGCAATCAGGAACCATTTCTTGGCGACTGAGGATGGATGATGGGGGAAGTCCATTACAATGTCTGCTTGTGACCAGAGTTGCTTCCTAGCAGCATTGCGCAAAGCTCTGGCACCAAAGTCATGGTCTCCCTTGGGCGGATAGAACTGCATTGCCAGCTTTCCATGTTCAACAGCGACTTGTCTCAGCGACGAAAATAGTGTCTGAAGTTTGGCTTGTGATGCTTGTGATTCCTGGCCTGACTGGCGTGGTTCAACTAGCCATTGAACTGCGCTCACCGACAAAATAGCGTCAGCAATCCCGCTGCGCAAGGGCAGCGGCTGCGACATGTCAGCGAGGACCCGGTCTCGCCTTGAAAGCCAAGGAAGGCCAGAGCTGAGATCCACTTTCTCTGAAGCGGAAGCATCAAGTAAAACCGACTCAGTATCAACTTGTGAAATTGCCCTGTCTTTGACTGCAGGAAGTCGAATTCCCAGCAATGAAGATTCTTCGGTGGTCGTTGCCAGCATGTGCGCACTGCTATCAAAAGCCAGGATGTATGGCACCGGTGAGCCACTGCCGTGTGCCAAGGCCTGGAATGTCAAAGTGCTCAGACCACCTCCCGCACCCAAGTCGAGGACGAGGCTGCCGGGCCTTCGCGGTAAAAGACCACCGAGTGCCACGGCAGAGTAAGTCAGTTCAGCTTGGATACGGGCGGCCTTTGGCACTCGATGGTACCTCTCCGCTTCACTCTGCTCGTAGTACTCCTTACTCCGAGGGTCCGAGGGGAGGCCGAGGGGGAAACAGTGTGATACATCTAGTACAGCACAGAATGCCTCACGGCAGTGATGCTAGTACAAACAAACACCGCAAAGATATGCAGAGATGTTTGAATGGGCTAAGAAGACAACATAAGACATCATAAAAAAATCTACGGTATATAAAACCCAGATCTGTCAAGACAATCACTCCTGTGTTTATGCTATCGTTTGCTTAAACTGCCTATCAACATTGACTCAACAAAGTGTCATCCGGTGTGGCTGAAACCTCCGGGTGAAGATGCTTGCGGCCGCCGCGGCCTTCACCAGAGCGACGCCCACGCCCACGAGCCATGGAGGCTTGAGGCCATCAAACTGTGGGGGCAACTTGCGAGAACTTGAAGCTAATGTTCAAACAAGGACATATAGACAAAGTCTGACAAACTTTGCAGCAGCTCACAACTCCAATTATAGATGTTGTATAAGTTGTATATGAGGACGCGAGAGAATATGAAAAATTATTTGGTACGCACATAGAATATGTTCCAAGTACCAAAAGAATATTTTTGAAGTGTGCAGATAGACTTTTTGCATATAGAATACTTGGGTTGTTAAATTAAACATAGCAAACCATATTAAAGCCAGCAATGCTGGCTTAAATATATGTGTATATATATATAGCTTCTGTATACACGGTCACTTAAAACCAATCCAACACATAAGGTCAACATGACCAGCTAACTGGTTGATAAGATTTGAACATGTAATACAAAATAGGAACGCAATGAGTTGCCTAAGACAATATTCTACCTGCAAGGTTTTCATTGTGTTTGCATCATGCGAATGATAGGCAATCACTTTCCCCCCAAATCCAGCACTCTGTTCCCCCAATCCCGAATTATCAACCCACAATACATATATATATACTATATATTACTATATTGTCTTAATGAATCTTAATGAGATGTATAGCGATTGGTCACCAGGAATTCTTAATTAGCACACATTCTATGTGAAAACTGTACTTCATAAATGCTGCTTCAGTCATGCTGATTGTACATCGTACATATACAGTATTCTAAGTGTGTAACTGCAACTCCACTTTGCTTGCACTTAGAATATGGACCAAATAGCTTTTTGGATTTGGTTCATATTCTATCTGCGTGTCCGGTACTATATGTGAAGCGAGACGCAAGTCAAGCAAGTCAGTCAAGCAGAACTTGCTCAAACCAGTATCGCCCTGCTTTGGGTCACTGTACCATTGAACCATCAACCCCTGCTCAAGCAGGAAATGTACTGGAATGCACTTGACTCAACCAAGCCACGCTGTTCGGCCGAGGCTTCTCTTGTCGTCGCCGGCGCTGAAGCAAGTCATCTATAGTGAGGTTTCCTGACAGTGTGCTGCGGGCCTTGAGCCCCATCACATCCACCACTCCCACCTTCCTTGTGCCAGACCACCCAACTTGTATTTCCTGGATTGGAATTGACTGAGAGTTCCAGTTCTCCCAGCCAAGCCGTCGTCGATCTTCCACTTTCTGTGCTAATTTTCTGTGTGGATCTCGGGACATTCTCTCACGTTGTCGTAATCGTCTCGCTTCTTGACGTTGCCGTTCTTCACCTTTAGACTTTTCTTCACCTGGGTCCCACGACAGGTGCTCTAGGCGCGCATGCTTTGCAAGATTCTCAAGCTTGGTGGTCATGCTCGCAACTTCCTCCGGCAAGCTGGTGTGAAAAAGCATGAAACGGCCAAAAAGAAAAAACAACATCATACTTACAAGGCTTAAACACTTGGCACATCCAGTTTCTGCGATAGAACATGCAAGACATTAAATGAGAAGCAAGTGGCCTGGTCAAATTGCTCCTTCAGCCCGCCGCTCTCAAAGTCTGCAAACTCCGGAAAGCTGGGGCTGCTATTTGATTTGAGCATGTCAACCTCTGTTTGATTCGACCAGGTTGATCCAAAGAAGCGCTCAAGCTCAGCAGCACGGCTTTGGGCACGATGATTCTCTGACTGAACGCCGGCCGCTGGAGTTCTCAGCTTCTCCGCGAAGAAAGCTCTGCTGGCTCTGCTCCCCAAAACGCCCTGGGAGCGAACCCGCTGCAAACTGCCTGCATCTGACAGCAAGGGTGAACAAGGCCGCAGCGCCAGTCGGGCAAAGCTCACTCGGCTTGGCCATGGCTCAGTCATTGTCAAGCCCTCATAGTCTGGCAACTCAGCACAGAATGAGGTGCAAACATGTGCACACCTTGCGCCGTCCATTGGGGCCTTGGACACATCTGTTTGACCTGCTTGGGGTTTAGACAGAATTCAGGTCACTAGGGCTATGGTCAGTTGCTTGCCCTTGATCAAGCTTGAAGAAACGCACGGCGTTCGTGTCTTCCTACACTGCAAAGTTGCCGGGCAATTTATGAGTGCAGCCCTGCTATCTTTTTTCATGGCAGTGGGCATGTTGTTTTTTGGCATGAAGCAAACGGCAACTCAGATCGGGCAGCACCACAAACACGTGTGGGCGGCTGCATGTCTGAGCACCTCCACCACATGTCCATCCAGCTTGCGCAAAGCTGTGGGAAACGGCTTCCAGGTGTTGCAAATGAAGATTAGTCGTCACCGGCTTTGGGAACGAATTAGCTGTGCAGGCCGTAGCTGTACAAGGCTGTCACAGGGAGATCTGACTAGGATCAAATGTATATCTGTTCTGTGCATTCATTGATTCATGCGTCAAGGCATTCAGAAGAACCTGAAAATCACCAGTGCAATGCTGGACTAAGCATATGGAAAAACACCTGGAAACGTATCTTTTCTGCAACATGTGTTGCCACAGCTTTTTCCATTCAAGGTGCTGTCACAGCTGTTCAGCTCCTCCGAGCTGACACTCCGCGATGACCCCTTCACATTCCTAGGCGTTTCTTGGCGCCACCGAGAAGGCAAATCCCTTCTCGGTCTGGTGAACTAGCAGGGCTGACGGTGCATCTGAGCTGCGACAAATCAAAAGCATCATGAGGATCCGTGTGAACATATCCATCGAGTTCATGGTGTGCTCTTGGCGTTCCTAGCATCAAACTACAGCAACTGTACTACTAGAGAGCCTCGCCAATCAGTCACAAGGGCCATGCCTGGGAAGCAGTACTCATCCAAGCTGGTTGACATATCAAAGCCAGCTTGGGCATGCCTGGTCAGCAAATCAGGTGATCCTGTGATATCTCTTTCAAGTCTGGACGGAGAACATGTGCAAAACTCAAGACGGCACCGAACGCACCAAGAATCGAGAATCTAGACCTGTAAATTGGGCCTGGTCGTCATTGCCTGCTGCATTTCTAAGTGCGCATGCTGGGCAGCAATCTGCTCCGAAGGACTCGCCGTCCGTCCTTGAAAGAGAACAATCTAGCACCAAGATGTCATGCAAAAAGTGCCAAGCTGCAGGCTGGAGCAATGAGGTGAAGCAAAGTGGACTGGAATGTACGACAACATATCATATAGCCGTCAACATTCAATGTTCCAACATTTCGAATCAAAAGTCGCCAGGTTAGCAGCTCAAGGGCAAACGAAACTCATCCAGCTGGACAAGTGGCGGAAGCTCCCCACTGGCACATCTTCAGTGGCAGAACCATAGTGAACCTCCTCAATCAGCTCTTGAGTGCCCTCTCCGGGCTGCCATCCTTGACAGCTGCTTTGTGATGGAGAATTTGTGTTTTTTTTGTGTGTGTGTGTCAACTCCTGTCCCACTGCGGTGTGCTGTGTGATCCCTTCGGGGCGCGTTGAGCATAGACCCTCAAGGGGAATTCCCCACCGGATGTTCAGAGCTGCTTGATCCTTACAAACCAGTCGTCCTTTTTTGAGATTGCTGATTGATTGCCGCAGGGCTGCTGAAAGCTTTCAAAGAATGTCATGACATGCGGCGAATGGCTAATGTAATCACATGACATGCGGCTAAATATTCAGTGCTGTCTTGCTGTCCTTCCTTCGGCTTCTCTTCGCTTTCTAAGTCTTTCTTCCTTTCTAGAGGGTTTTTAGGTGTAACTGATGGTTTTTTGTTTAGTCAAGGGAGCGCCGGCTCGGGCCCGAGCCGGCCACCCCCACCCCACCCCACACACACACACACCCCTGCACCCCCTTTCTTTCCTTGCCTTTTTCGTTTGTTTGGTCTTTCCTTCAGGCTTGTTAGGTTGACTTTTACGCTCGTTTAATCAATGCAGAAAAGGAGGACGCGGGCATTATGTGTGGCCACAGACCTGCCACCGCCGGTCTTCAACAGACCTGCCACTGCCACTGTGGCCAATGAAGACCGGCGGTGGCAGGTGTGTAAACGTACCTGCAGCAGTGGCCCTGGACGGCAAGCCCCTTCAGTGGGGACCGTAGCTGGGCACTGCAGTGACAGTCCCTGGGCGTCTGCGCAGCTGGGATGTCACCTTGAACGCATTGAGGACAGTCCATGGGCGCCGGCGTGCACAGCTTGGATGTCCAACTGTTCAATCTTCCTTCTGGTTGAACTGTTGACTACGCTGTTACCCTCATTCTTTAAAGGGCTAATGCGGTAAAGGGCTACTGTAATGCGTTTGTTGCAAACAAACCAAGTGAGCTGACCCTTCACCTTGCTGTTTCCTGCGAGTCAAGGTCTACTGTAATCAGTAACTAGCTCTCGGGATGTCCAAACTGATACAGCTCTTGCGAGCATTGAACTGAGTGTGTATGTGCGTGCGACAGAGCGGGTAGCTCCACGCTTTCCTGCCCTCGCTCGCATAGTTTGATGCTCAGGGTTGCGCCCATGGTCGTCCAGTGAGGGTCTGGTGGGGAAAGCGGCTTTTCGGCATGTGGGAACGTGTCCAAAGATGCCCGAAGGCATTTGCGATTCGAGCAAGTGCGTGCACACGTGTGTGTGTGTGCGTGCCCCTTGTAGTCACAGGGATTCGTTTGAATTGTTTAGCAGGGGGGCAATGAACACTTTGGAAGGCAATTGCCCAACGAAGACCCTTCCATCGTGTTGTGATATTCCTGAGGGACGCCTCGGGAACGTACCTGCAACAATTTTTAAAGTTTGCGGCAGTCACGCACGGAACGCCGTCACTTCGACCTGATCGCCGACCTCGACCTTGTGCTTTGGGCCTCCTTTCCTTTTAAGACCTCCAGGATTCGATGGCTTTCTACTGGTACTCTTAGGAAATGGAACCCTAGGCCGGCGTGTGGCACCGCTTTCAGTTCCGTATGCATATCCATAAGTGTGTTTGGCCTCGCGCCAACTCGGGATGAGCCCGCAGAGTGCCTCCGTAGACCCGTCGAACGGGGGTTTGTCGTTACCTCCCCTGCCCGGAGATGTAAGTGCCCAGAGCGGGCGTAGGTGGCCTAGGCCGAGAGAATTCAGATTATTGTCTCATCTTTGGCATTCCAAGCTGGCTCATGCCTTTACGTGACCGCAGCGGTCAAAGCAGCCAGCCATATTGGCACGGCGTACGTGGCCGCAGTGGCCGAAGTTTGTTCAAGGTTCATTGGAACCTGTCTCAACCTCAGGTGCACACACAGCGCTCACACTCAAACGAGGCAGGTCCCTAGGTGCTTCTAATGAGGTTTGGTTTCATCGGTTCTCGTCCCCTCCAGTTGGTTCCCCTTTCACCCCTTCCCCTTCACATACTTTTGTTTCCTCTTTTCTTTCATGTCCTCCTGTCTTCATGTCTGTTCATCTCATCCTTTTCTTCGTCTGCGTGCACATTGGTCCCGGCCTTAGTGTGTACGTGCACCTCTACATACCTTTAAACACAGGTTTTAGGTCGCCCAGGTCTTTACAATGAGGTGGGCTTCATCGGGTGTCCCTGTGCACTTGGTTCCCCTTTCATTTCAACCACACGCACCTTTGCCCCGTCTCGTCCTCCTGTCATGTCTTCATTCTTTTGTCTTGTGCGCGCGCACGTGCACATTGGCCCTCACCTTAGCTTTACGCCTCCCCTCGGGGAGGCGTGTGTGTGTGTGTGCCCCTTGTAGTCACAGGGATTCGTTTGAATTGTTTTTGTGCTTAGCAGGGGGGCAATGAACACTTTGGAAGGCATTGCCCAACGAAGACCCTTCCATCGTTATTCCTGAGGGACGCCTCGGGAACGTACCTGCAACAATTTTTCAAGTTTGCGGCAGTCACGCACGGAACGCCGTCACTTCGACCTGATCGCCGACCTCGACCTTGTGCTTTGGGCCTCCTTTCCTTTTAAGACCTCCAGGATTCGATGGCTTCCTACTGGTACTCTTAGGAAATGGAACCCTAGGCCGGCGTGTGGCGCCGCTTTCAGTTCCGTACGCATATCCATAAGTGTGTGCCCCTTGTAGTCACAGGGATTTTGAATCGTAATTCGTTTTGTTTTAAGCAGGGGGGCGCAGCAGATGCAAGGGACTGCGCCTAACAAAGCTACCTTGCATCTGGGAAGCAGAGCCTGATCAGCTCTGTGTAATTGCTTGATTTTTAACACTTGCCGAGAAGTGTCGTCAAGTGCTAGTGTGTTCTGCAGATGTGCACGTACCGCCGTCATCTTGTCGCTCCGACTTCGTCGCTTTGTTGCTTGCGCTTTGGGCCACCCTTCCTTTTGAAGACCTCCAGGATCCGTGGTTCTTACTTGTACCCTTAGGAAATGGCGTGTGGCACCGCTGTCAGTCAGTACGCATATCCATAAGTGTGTCTCTCCCAGTGAGAGTCTGGGATGAGCCCGTAGAGTGCCTCCCGTGGACCCGTCGAACGGGTGTCTGTCCATGTTCCCCGGCTTTGGGGACGGGCGGACAGCAGGTGGCCTAGGCCGAAAGAACTCAGATTTTTGTCTCATCTTTGGCATTCCAAGCTGGCTCATGCCTTTACGTGACCGCAGCGGTCAAAGCAGCCAGCCATTTTCTTAGTATTGCTCTTTGGAATTTTAGAATTTTTTTTGCTTTTTCAATTGGGGTTGAAGTTTGTCTGTTTGAAGGTTTTGCTACCACCTCAAAAGTTATTTACACTTCTCGATTTGTAGGGTCGCGTCTGACTGTGTAAATCATGACTAGGTTCAGCTCTAGCTAGGACAGTCCCTTCTTAGCAGGTAAACTTGTAGTCATGTCAACCTTAACTTTTCACCTTCATTGACGCTCCTAGAATATTGTCTCGATTTTTCAATACTGTTTTCTCGAGGAAGGGAAGAAAAGATATTTGGGCCTTGGAAAATTTTATTTCCAAATCTTGACGCCGCCATGTGGCTCTAAATGGGTTTGCCTTCCCAAGTGGGGGTTGCTGAGTACTTTGGCTGCTTCGGTGAGGTGCTTTTCTGCAGAGGTCATTGGCTGCTTCGGCCAAATCCTTTGCCATGAGCAATGTGGAGGCGAAGGCCACATTGAAATTGGCGCGGTTGGCAGGAGTTTCTGCTGAACCCTGAAGATTCTCAAGCTGGCTGCTGCAAATGGCCCAAAGCTGGCCCTTTCTATGGCAATGGCTCCCCCTGGTCCTGATCCAGAAATGTTGAAGTCCTTTTGTCGCTTTACTGCAGATACCCGCCGTTTGCTGATCCTCCACTTTGGGGAGGACGATGCCCTGGACGAAGCTGAGTGCTTGAGGAACGCGCTACTGTGGGCATGGCAGCATTTACCTGATTCAGCAACAGCCCTGCTAGACGGAAGTTTGGTTCATGTGCTGGATGTTTGCACCACAATCAAATATACTTGTCCGCATCAATACCCTACGCTTCGCGTCGTCACAGGCCTGCCTCCGCGTGGGCCGAGCTATTTGAGAGACCCGTTGACTCAATTCACTAAGAATGATTTCAAGGCAGCTTTGGCGTGTGTCCGAGTGCTTGAAGACATGCCAGGTTCTTTTTTGACACTGTCTTGGAGTGGAGTGAGCAAATGGTTCCCTAACTTTGCTCTTGAAGTCCTTGCCGAGGACGCGCAGTAAGCCAAGGCTGACTGGGAGCTTCGGCCAGCTGCCAAGGAGAGACCAGGAGCCTGTCATTGGCTGCTTCGGCTAAGACAGGAAGTTTGGGAAAGGGAAAAAATGGCGCGCCAGGCTTGTAAGGAGAGGTCTTTTAGCCTGCTCCAACCGAGCCTCGGGAACGTTCTTGAACCTCCTAAGGAGCAGGAAAAAAGCAGACTGCTAGAAAAAATTCCATTCATGTTTTCTAATTCTAGGACAGTCTGCTTTTATCCTGCTCCAACCGAGCCTCGGGAACGTTCTTGAAGCTTGTAAGGAGTAGTCTGATAGTCACCTCTGTAGGAGGCTCAGATACACGATTCTCGTCCGACGCAGCTTTTTGCTCAAGGAAAGATAAAATAAGTGGGCCTCTGGCTGATTCGGCCAGGGCCCACAGAATGTCGTCCTCTAAGTGCAAGAAGGACAATTTTTCAGGCTGGGGGCATATTGCGGTTGGTGAGCAAGTGACTGCTGCAGCCAAAGCCGAACCCAAATCCAAGGCCAAGGGTCAACCAAATAAGCCAAAGCCGAAACCGAAGCCAGAAAAGCCACCTAAGAAGCCTGAGCCTAGGGCCAAGCCGAAGCCTGCAGTAGGCGGCGATGATGAGCCACCCACAAAAAACAAACAAAAAAGACAGAAGCAACCGGAGCCTCAGCTGGGGAGGTCGATGATGACGACCAGGAAGTGGAGATGGAAGAGGGTGAGGAAAACGTCGAGGTTTGGAACCCGCTGGCGTGATCTTTGGCTGCGTCGGCCAAGATACATGCACTCTGGCATGGGCGCAAAGCTTTTTGTTGCATCTCTGGCTGCATCGGCCAGGATGCATGCAGTGAGCTCGCGCAGAATGAAAAAAGAGCGCGATCAAGACTTCTTCAATTTTGGGTGTCTGGCTTTCTTTACATTGGTGCATTGAATGCTTTAAATGTTTCAGGCTTCCGGAAAAAGACCCTGTAAAAACATTACATTTTAACTTCTAAGTTTTCTAACTAACGGGAAGCTTGGGAGTCTGGCTTGCACTGCGCACCATATTTTCTCTTGAATTGAATTGAAGATTGCTCCAGCCAGCGGCTCCAAACCAAGCATGGGAACCTCCAACCAGGCTGATTATTGCAGCCTTCCTGTTCTACACAAACTTTGGAAAACGTGTTCTCGAGTGGGGGTTGCCTGTTTGTCGAGCGGGTGCTGCAAAATTATTCTTTGGACACAGGAAATTAAATTTCCCCTGTTGCCCTTCAATTGTCACATTCTCACAAAGTCCCGTCAAATGCCTTGAAGTTGGCTGGCGTTGTATGCCTCGCTTTGCACAATGACTTTGCCACAGCTGTTTTCTTAGACCCTTGAGTAGGAAGCTTATAAGTTATTTTGAATTCTCGATTTTGCACCTAGAATGGTATCACTCAAGGAAGATGGCACCAACCCTTCCACAGAGCAAAAAAAAATTCCAAAATTCCAAAGAGCAATACTAAGTTTTGACAAGGCACAAGGTGACCGTAGCGGTCAAAGCAAGTTTAAGGTTCATTGGAACCTGTCCCACTCTCAGGTGCACACACACAGCGCTTACATTCAAACGAGGCAGGTCCCTAGGTGCTTCTAATGAGGTTTGGTTTCATCGGTTCTCGTCCCCTCCATTTGGTTCCCCTTTCATCCCTTCCCCTTCACACACTTTTGTTTCCTCTTTTCTTTCATGTCCTCCTGTCTTCATGTCTGATCATCTCATCCTTTTCTTCGTTTGCGCGCACATTGGTCCCGGCCTTAGTGTGTACGTGCACTTCTGCATACATTTTAACACATGTTTCAGGCCGCCCAGGTTTTTACAATGAGGTGGGCTTCATCGGGTGTCCCTGTGCACTTGGTCCCCCTTTCATTTCAACCACAGGCATTTTTGTCCCGTTTCGTCCTCCTGCCATGTCCTCATTCTTTTGTCTCTTCTGCGCGCACACGTGCACATTTGCCCTTACCTTAGCTTTACGCCTCCCCTCGGGGAGGCGTGTGTGTGTGTGCCCCTTGTAGTCACAGGGATTCTTTTGAATTGTAATTCGTTTTGTTTTTAAGCAGGGGGGCGCAGCAGATGCAAGGGACTGCGCCTAACAAAGCTGCATCTGGGAAGCAGAGCCTGATCAGCTCTGTGTACCTGCTTGATTTTTAACACTTGCCGAGAAGTGTCGTCAAGTGCTAGTGTGTTCTGCAGATGTGCACGTACCGCCGTCATCTTCTCGCTCCGACTTCGTCGCTTTGTTGCTTGCGCTTTGGGCCACCCTTCCTTTTGAAGACCTCCAGGATCCATGGTTCTTACTTGTACCCTTAGGAAATGGTACCCTAGGCCGGCGTGTGGCACCGCTGTCAGTCAGTACGCATATCCATAAGTGTGTGTGTGTAACCCTTGGAATCATAGGGATCCTTTCGGATTGTTTTAGCTTCACAGTTGTTTTCCTTGTGCAGCAGGGGGACTGGAGCCGATTTGCCTATCCAGTCCAACGAAGCTATGGCATTTCGGCAGATGTGTGGTCTGATCAACCACTTGTACCTGCACAATTTTTAAACCTTTGGTAAAGGGCTAATGCACTCGGCAGACATGAACGAACGTCGTCAGCCTGCTCGATCCGCTCTCGTCGATGGGTTTCTTCCGCTTTGGGCCTTCTTTCCTCTTAAAGTCCTCCAGGTTCCCGTGGTTCGTACTTGTTCCCTTAGGAATTGGAACCCTAGGCCGGCGTGTGGCACCGCTTTCAGTTCAGTACACCCTATCCTAAGTGTGTTTGGCCTCGTGCCAACCCGGGATGAGCCCGCAGAGTGCCTCCCGTGGACCCGTCGAACGGGTGTACGTCGAACGTATCCACTGCCCGGATACAGAGCAGCTCGCAGCGAGTGTAGGTGGCCTAGGCCGTACGTACGATGATTTTGTCCCATCTTTGGAATTCTAAGCTGGCTCATGCCTTTACGTGACCGTAGCGGTCAAAGATGGCAGCCCCTGGGCACGCCGTACGTGGTCGCAGCGACCGAAGTTTGCTCAAGGTTCGTTGGAACCTGTCGCGAGCTTAGTCCCTTCTCCCCCTTCCCTTCCCCCTTTCTTTCTTTGCTTCCTGGGGTTTTCCTGAATGCAACACTCAGGATCACCCCTCTCTTTCTTTGGTGTGTCCCTGGACGCTTGTTCGTAGCTGGGAACACCTGCCTTTCCTTTTTCTCTCATCTCCCTTTCTCTCCCTCTCTCTTTCTTTCCTTCTCTCTCTCCTTCCTCCCTCCTTGGGTGTCCCTGGATGCTTTTGTCATAGCTGGGAACCTTCTCCTCTCTTCCTTTGGTGTGTCCTTGGACGCACGCGTCGTAGCTGGGAACACCTTCCTTTCTTTTCTCTTCTTTTTCTCGTCTCTCCCTACCCCTCCCTCTTGTCGGCACCTTAGCTGGCCTTCCTACTAGGTGTTAGGTGTTTCTTTGACGCTACTAGAGGTTCCTGGCCTTACCACTACTTGGGGGCGAAGTACACGTCATCTTGCCTCCCCTCGGGGAGGCGTGTGTGTGTGTAACCCTTGGAGTCATAGGGATCCTTTCAGATTGTTTTAGCTTCACAGTTGTTTTCCTTGTGCAGCAGGGGGACTGGAGCCGATTTGCCTATCCAGTCCAACGAAGCTATGGCATTTCGGCGGATGAGTGGTCTGATCAACCACTTGTACCTGCACAATTTTTAAACCTTTGGTAAAGGGCTAATGCACTCGGCAGACATGAACGAACGTCGTCAGCCTGCTCGATCCGCGATCGTCGATGGGTTTCTTCCGCTTTGGGCCTTCTTTCCTCTTAAAGTCCTCCAGGTTCCCGTGGTTCGTACTTGTTCCCTTAGGAATTGGAACCCTAGGCCGGCGTGTGGCACCGCTTTCAGTTCAGTACACCCTATCCTAAGTGTGTGTGCAACCTTCAAAAACCCTTCATGCAGCTCTTTGAGCCAAGAAGTAGGCCAGCGTGGAACCCGTAGGACTGGGCAAGCACGCAGGTGACAGGTGAGCAAGCTTGCAGCCCAGAAACTGGATATCTTCACCTCCTGAAGACAAGTGTTCTCAGCCTGTCCGCCTTTATGTAACGTTTTCAAACCACCTTCCTTTCTTATGGGCTGCTTGATCATGCCACCCCGGAAAACAATCATGTCAATGTTGGTGTGGCCGACGCAAGTTTGATTCAATACCCCTTCCAAGCCCCAAATCGGGTTGACATGGACAATCACTCATATCTTCTTTCGGCAAGCATCTGCTGAGCGCAAAGCTGACAGGACTACACGCAGAATCTCCTTTGTGCCTTAAGTTCGCTTCAGGCATCCAATCAGCTCCAAGGCTCAGTTACTGATGTAACTCCAACCTCGTAGCGATGGCCTCCACCCTAGTAGCAATGGCCTCCACCCTAGTTGCGATGGCCTCTACCCTAACTAGTAGCAATGGCCTCCACCCTAGTAGCGATGGCCTCCAACCTAATGGCGATGGCGTCCACCCTATAATGGCAAGATTCGGTGATCAAGCCGCAGTTGGTCTTCTGGTGCCAGTTGATCTGCCAATACCTTGCAGACTTGAATGGACTATACTACCCCCAGGTGAGTTAGGAGTTGTGCCAATTATGAGATAAGTTGTTTCTTGCACAAGTCCTGGCACATGTGTCTGCGAAACGTTGACTGAAACCATTCAAAAAGCACATGAGTCACATGAGATAGGAGTCATACTCTTTAAAACATTTTGGGGGGGGCGGGGGAGTGCCCCCAATTCACCTCTCACCAGTGTCCCCTTTGGAATATATCATTTCAAAGAGATAGGCTCAGCTACCCTCTGGTGTTCTTGATTTTGATGGTAGATGCATGATGAGATGGGAGTTGTGGACACACTTGGAAACACATGAGATGGAACTTTGAAGTTTGCACAGTCACTTCACAAGTCCCAAATCACTAGTGGATAGTATAAATGCAAATCATCGCGCTGACTGTGCGAGTGCTGAGTACACAACAGCGACCCCTCAGCAGGAGCTTTGAAGTCAATTGAGGTAACAAGAGATGCATCGGACAAAGTGGGGCAGCATGAGAGGAGGGCACAAAGCTTCATAGGACAAGGTGAGTAAAATTGGCTGAGATCACGGACGCACACCTGACAAAAAGGCCCTGACATTGAGGTCAGGTGAGATCCAGGATGTGGCGTGATGCGTGGAGACTGTATGAATTACTAAACGAAGTTGTCAAAAGGATGCTGGCTAAATAAGAAAGGGGGCAAGGATAAGGTGAGGTCATGGATCACATGATTTCACTGTTGAAATTCGAGCGGAACCCTCCCGCCGCACCTCCAACTGGATCCCCCACTAAAGTCGCCAGGTGCAAATGAGGAAACCGGAGATGCTTCACGGCCAGCAGGTCAAGCACACCGAAAGACTCTGGCTGTTTCCAGGTGACAAACATGGCTCCAACCACACATGGAAGTGGCTGTGAGTTCTGGTGAGCTGATTGAGATGAGTTGAGAAATGGTGACATGCATCATAATGCGGAAAAATCGGGATTGGCGTTGGGGATGCAAATCAGGGAAATGGGGCGCAACCAAAAGCAAAAATACTGAACGGAAGTGGCATGAGAAAATCCCACAATCCACAAAATCACAAAGATGAAATGAGACACCAAATGGAACGATTGACGAGAAAACATGATACATTGGGCAGACTCTGAGACAATTTGGAGCTCCTTAGGGCGACAGAATTGGGCAAGTGAGCAAAGGCATATGCAATCTTTTTGTATTCCGTGTTCTTTAACTTTTTAAATAGGCCAAAGGCCAAGGGGGGAGGTCGCCAAGAGGAAGAGGTAGCTATAGTAGCCATTAAGTAGGACGCTACTGCATATTATGGACGCAAGATAGCTCACGCTTCTTCGAAGCTCCCCCCGCCTGAGAGGGGGTGGAAGCTTCCTTGAAGAACGCTCGCATTAATGAAGAACTGTTCCTAGTAGCTTCTTGTTCCTAGGTTTTTAGGGAAACTTAACTTCCTGTCTCCTCTGTGAACGTCACATCTGCAGCGAACACCAACATTCGCTTTTTATTGCTTCCATGTTCTGTCAGAGTCACCTCGTCACCTTCGTCGTAAATACGCGGCATATATAGAGAGAGATACAATAAAATATAGATATATATATAGTTTTGAACATATATAAAACAAAAATAACGCATGATGTATCATGATGTCATTGCAGTGTGATATTTGGAAGTGGAACATTGGGGGCTAACACAAAGAGATAGAAAACAAAACACCAAACCTGGACTTGTAGGAGACCCTGACCAGGCACCAGCTCCAGCTCCATGTCTTTCAGGTACAACTCGTTGATGATATGTTGCGTCCCAACATCGTGAAAAGGGTGGAAGGAACGGAAGTCCACGACCTTGCATCCAACCTGCGTGTTTCCCGCGGTGCATGCGGCACCGCACGCGTGTCAATCGAAGAGAGAACCGTCTGAAGATCTCCGCCTCCAAAAGTCCATTCAGCAAGGCACCCTGCTGGCCCCATTGCGCACGCGAACGGGTCTGCACGCAGAAGTAGACCTTAAGAAGAAACGGTTGAGCAAAGGTCTTTTTTGAGTCCAGGGGCGGGGGGTAGGCCGAGGCAGTAGCTAGATAGCTAGTAGAAGCAAACAGTAGCTAGTAGCTACAAGAACGCTACTACCTAGGACCTAGGATGCAGGATAGCTCACACTCGCACTATTCATTCATTTGGTTCCTAGATTTTTAGGGAAACATAACTACTTTGATCTGAGAGAGGGCAGGCAGCAAATGATAAAAGCCAACAAAAGCCAAAGCTACAATGCTGCCAAGCTTTGAACCCTGCATGCCTGCAAGCAGTGGGAAACCAAACTGGGTGTCAGGCTGAGTGAAGTACACCAGTCTCGATTTTGGCAGTGTCACTCCTTGCTTGTGAAGAGGCACTGCTATTGAAACGGTAGCGGGTAGTGTGTCAAAACACCTTCACCTGCCAAACAAAACATCCAAAACCCTTCCAATTATATAGAACCCCCATTCTGTAGTACAACAGAACGAGGAACCCGACCCCACAAATTTGCTGTTTTGGAAGGACCCGACCCTGCTTGACTGCAAAATGCTTGACTCATCTTGACTCCAACGTACATAAAATCATTGAATGAACAGGAAAGTTGCACTACAGAATAGTGAGGACCCAACCCTCATGTTAGCAATGTGTTTGACTACAAAATGGTGTGGCCCCGACCTACCAAGTTGAGGCGTTCTGATCTGTTCTGAGGCCTCTTCAATCTTGAAGAAAATGTGCGCATTGCAAACAAGGGCTTATAATATTATTGTTATTAGAAGTTTGGCCTTGCATGTATTCTTTTGGACAACATGTTGGAAGGTACCACAGGAATCTACACAGACTGTGTCCATGCATGTTGTCGTCACTCCAGGGAGCCCAGGCATTCTGTAGTTAAACATAGTTATGTTCGTTTAAAACATAGACGAAGCATCCGTTTGAACACGTGTTGTTCGTTTTTGAAGGGTGAAACGTCTTTACAAGTTTCTCTTCATAAGAATCTTCATTTGAATCTCTTCTCCGGCAAATCAAGGGATGCCCGTCTAGAAGCTTGGCCTTAAATATTGTGAGCGGCCAAAATGGCTGCAAAAATTGGCGCTACATTTTGGTGAAGTAGGTTAAAATCAAGTTAATAGGCAGAATCTGCACTACATTATGCTACGTAGGTTACCAACGTCTATATCTCACATGAAAACTAGCCGCTACAAAATGAGTCTTGCTACAAGATGCGGGCTCCAACCCCAGTTTTTGCAGCATATTAAAAAGCATTTGAAAAACTCAACGTAGTGGCCTCAAGACACCCCATTTCATATAGGAAATCCAATCAGGAATAAAAGTACCGCTTCATTGCGCTGGGCATTCGGCTTCAAGGTGCGTCCGAGTCTCTTTGCTTCTTCAATGCGTCGTTTTGCTTCAATTTCCCTTCGTGTCAGGACCACGCGCAAGACAGTTGGGCAAATCAAGATTGAGATCAAAACCTGGGCTGAGTCCGTTCAGATTGACAAGAAAATTGGCTGTGGGAGTACAGCATTGCTCGAATCTTAAGAAGCAATCTATATAGTCAAGATTTTAGGCGTGGCTGCCAAAGCTCCTTGTTCAATCTTGTGCCATCATATAGATTGGGGGGCCATCACTTCCCTGTTTTGGACAACTTTAGACTTCAGCTTGGAAGGGAGGCATCGATTTCGTGTATATAGTTAGTACAGCCAAGCTTCAACCAAACAAGTGCATGTATGAGCACGAGCAACAGTCAAAGGTAACGTAACAGCAAAGTTCGGCTGATACTAGAAGCAGCTAAGAGCATTCACCAAGCTGTTTCCGCGACATCTTCTGTGGTTGCAAACCAAGCTATGTTGAAGTGGGCAAGTAATACCTAAGGGCATCGCTAGGGGTGTCGCTTGAAATCCCCATTTTTTTGGCCCCAAAGGATATGACTATTGCATGTGGAATTACTTTTCAGATCAAGAAGCTCTTGAAAGAAAAACTACTGACTGTCACACAAATAAGTTTGGACAATGTTAGGGCATCGCTTTTGGGGGCGCACTGCTCCCCTTGGTTTTTGCGAATTATCTAGGATTGAAAGCGGCTCACATCTTCTGCTCTACATGCCATGTTTTGACGGTTGCTCATATACTTGCATCCACAAAGATGCGGTAAGGCTGACCAATCAATGAAGTCTCTTGTACCACTGCCTTTTGGGATATGATCTGCATAGTCTTTTTAGTGCGATACTTCCCAACAAACTTCCCGGAGTCATTCGCAGCCACATGAAGGGCAAGAGGCAGCAAGAACCAGTGCACTATAGCTCTCTCCTGAGATCGAGGACATGTTTTCCGGTGCTTTCTGAGATTTGCTGGGTGATCCGGGTCTTTGTATGTCTTTGAGCTCCAGATCCGCGAGATGTAGGGTAGCTAACATCTTACAACTGGCACCTTCTAGGCCCCCAAGCCTCAAGCTCACCCTGGCGAAGCCTCCTTCACTTCCTCCAAGCTTCCGCTCAAGAGGTTCCCCCTCACAGCACGCAAGGCCAGAATGAAAGAGAACTCCCCCCAGCTGCCCCAGGCAAACCCCAGGATCAAGAAGTCGTTGAAGGTCAGCGGCATCGCAAAGAAACCCATGCAAAGCTTTGCAAACACACACCTATAGGGTGACCACTTGCAAAGCTTCACGGAGATAGATAGCACAAAAGTCTAGCAATCGTGAAAGCTGTACATCCTTTCGTATTCTTTGCACTGAGCTTCAGAAATTGCCAAGCGGCAAAAGCAAGACCGACGCCCGCTTCCAGACTTCGACATTTCCAAAGTCTTCTACAGGCACAGTAAAGCCGATGCTACAAGCAAAAAAGTAGCGCATCAAAAATGTGGCGACGCGCTTTACCTGGCGCTTCCACGCGTGGTGGACGTGTTCGTCCTTAAACAGCAGGGCCAGTTGTTTGACTTGATTACGATTGCAAAACACCATGACACATAATGCCACGACATGAAAGCGAAGGAACTTCGGCGAATCACTAGCAAACAAGGAACAGTGCAGAAGCAAAACCCTGCCAGAAATGCTCCCAGCAACGCTGAAGAACCTGTCATTTTGCACCTTGGTCTGTGATAATGATAGTAATACAGAGTAATAATGAATAATGTGATGTGATATGGTCGCATCACTTCTACGAGCAATTTTTGTACTTTTCTCTGTTGCACATAATGCATATACATCTGTCCATTGTCCGTCAAGCTTCGCCGGCATGTACACCACAGTCGTTGCCTGCAGGAATAACATGCACAAATCTGTTGACAACATTCAAGAGCCTTCTTCAAGAATAGATTAGGTTGGAGGTCATCGCTATTAAAAGGTTGGAGGCCATCGCTTCAAGAACAAATCACCTATCATTCCAGACTGCTTGCAATGCTTCACTCAAAAGTTCAAAAGTATCTTCCGTGCAGATCCTCAAAACTTGTTCTTGCACATGTCACTTGCGGCTCTGAGGCAGGCACCAGCAACATTCCAAGCACGATGTTTTCTTGGTTTTTCTTGTCGACTCGCGGTAGCACCACCTGTCAAAAACTTGGCTTGCAGCTGCTTGGCCTTTGATTTTGACTCTGGGGCTCAGCACCCAGGGTACCCAGGGTCACTGAGTGGCCTTGTCCAAAAAGCAAGGGACGACTTTGACTGCTAGGAAGCTCATGAACACCACCAGCACCAGCATCACCCTGAGCAAAGCGTTCAATGGAGGCGGCTACGGAGGAAACCATGCGCAGGCAAAAGCAAAACGTGCGGGCGAGCGTCACTATCGGAACAACCTGAGCAGCCACAGTAAAGAGGATTGATTGTATGTCAGGAAGAAGAAGCAGGTTTCCAGTGAACGTACGTCAAGACTGCCCCAAAAAGTCCTAGAAGCATATGTATGCCATGGCCCATTGGCCACAATGGCGTCTATCTCAGTGATCAAGGAGATGTTGATCAGTTCCTTGCATCGTAATGTGTCTTCGTTGCTGTTCCAACATCGCGATCACACAAGGTGCCAAATCGTTGCTTCTCAGCATCATTAACAGTTGCAGCAGCCAACAGCAACTGCCCGCTCGGTTGGTTGAGCACGCCCCCTCCTTTCATCACGTTCAGGGCAATACCTGTTGACCTCAACCGCAAACATAACCCCGCCGCATCGAATCAAAATCTAAGCAACAGTGCCATGGTGATGGATGTGCTTGAAGTTGATCGCATACACAGACATTTATACAATGAAGATTCACCTCATGCCTTTGGCAATGCCACCTTTCTTCCATTGAGTCAAGTTGAGGAGCATTGTAGCAAAGGAGGCTCCAATGGAAAAAGCTTGCATGGTCTCCAATTGCAGTGCCGCAACTGCCTCAGCCAGGATGCAACAATGAAAAAACAGCTCAGGAGAGTTCAGCTCAATCAAGAAACTAAGCACCCTGCCACCACCATACCTACAATCTGTGCAACGTCTTCTGTACCATGTAATTTTGGACAAGTGAGCAGGCCTAAGCCCATGGGCAAAAAGGAGCCAACAACTCCAACCGCCAGCGCACGAAGACCAACGATTTTTATCATTTCCTTGGGCGACAAGCTGAAACATCAGGACTCAGAACTTCGATGCGCTTCAAAGTCAGCGCAAAGGTGCATCCATGCATCCATGTCAACATGCAGGCCCGCTTCTATCATCAAAAGCACCTCAATTCCCCCGCCAAACGCTCTATCAACTTATCGCACAAGCCTGCAGCATATTCAACATATGGCTGCCCCCTTTCGTTGTCCAAGTGAAGCATGGGAAATAAATAACACTCGCAAGAGTAGAGGCCTTCCAACTGAATCTGGAGAACAGTAAAATGTCCCGATTCTATCTGAACGTGCATGCACATCCTTCTGCACAACCTGTAGCTGACATGACACGGAGGTGCAGCAGAATCATGTGTGCGATTCTATGGGGGTGATACAGTCAGCTACAAGTAAATTCCGCAACAGTGCAATAGGATGCAATAGGGCCATAGGGATATGGCTGGGACTTAAGCACCCAAAAACAGAAGGCACGAAGGATGGAAGAAAAGCAAGTGTGGCGAGGTCAAGTGGTCATCAGCCCGCTAGATAAATAGCATGAGATGGGCAGCACGACCATTCTGTTGAATGTGTGCTAACCCAATTCGGAGAGGACTCAAATTTACTCAAAGACCAACAGGTGTCACAATTCAAGAATGCCAAAGCATGCCAAAGCACTAGCGCAATCTCACCCTGCAAGATTAGAGCATTCGTTTCCGGAACGAGGTTCTTGACATGAGGGCCAGCAATGATGCCCACCGTGATTTCACCAATCAAGGCCGGCATCCCAAGTCTTGCAAACAGCTTGCCAGAAATCCAAAGAGCTGCCGTGAACAGCAGGAAAGCATAGAGCCTTCGAAAAGCGTCTTCTTCAGTGTGGGCCTCGTGGCCCTCCATTTTGGCATATCGCTTTGACTACACTGCGCGCCGTTTTGAGCCTAGCCACCAAATAACGCTCATGCTTGGTTCAAGCTGCTGATGCACAAGGAACTGTTGTGTCCGCGTGCTGACCAGCTGTCGGTCATTTTCCTCGCTTCAAAAGGGGCTTCAGATGTACACTTCATGATTTGTGCACAATCCCTTCAACGTTCAAGCTTGGTACACTTCTAGATTTGTGCGTTTTCCGCACCGGCACTCCCCCTCCGTCGCTTCGACGGAGGATATCGGTGCCACCGAAAGAGGAGAGGCTCAAACCTCTTCTCTTGTGGGCTCATGGGGTCACAAAAAGGGTGTACCCCGTCCAGCCGTAGGGTAAATGTGTCGACCTACAGGTAAATGTGTCGACCTACAGCCTTCTCTCAGATCGCAGATGACCATCTTCTTCTTCCCCACTGCCGCCCACGCGATTGTCAGTCTCCACTGACTCCATGTCTCCTCCCACAGGCGGTCGCCCGTGAAGTCATACTTCTGCCTTCTGGAGTTGGGATGTTCTCTGATGGCCACCCTCTTCCCCTCGGCATTCGTTTTCACATCCACCCACGTGTCTTTTCGGGTGTTCTGATGTGGCGGCCTATTCACTTCATTCTTGATGCCACCCGAGAGGAACTCCTTCTGGAAGGGCGGAAGCCTGAGGAACTCCTCCATGGTGGTCCCCTCGATCTCCCAGACTCCCAGCTGCAAGCCTTCCGGAGTCCCAGCCATGAGGAGCTCGAAGGTTCGCTTATCTTGCTGAGCCTCTCGGTCTGCCTTGGTGCTCTGCCGAGGCTGGATCACCTCCTCGAACACCTCCTCGCTTCCAGCTGGTCTATCCCTTCTCTCCTCAGGTGTCGATGTGCTCCCACCGGTAGTCGCCAATGTCCCTGCTGTAGTTTCCACCCGGGTTCGACCAGGATCGACTCCCACGATCCGAACTCCGGTTCCATCCATCGCCACCCAAGTGCCTCCGTAATCGGGGCGAGGTCCTCTCTTCGCCATGATTCGGTCCCATGCGGCCCGTCTCATGCCCACCTCTTCCCTTCGACTCTTCTCCTTCTCAAAGTCATAGGGCTCTCGGTGACATAGGTCTGGATCGTGGCCATGTCGATGTCCCGAATGTCGTTCAACTCCCTGTTGAGGTGACTCCACTTCCATCAACCGTCCCCGTCGTGGAGGCGTTTGCGTACTGGTCTCCTCCGTGATCTTGTTCTTCCCTCTCTCACCTGGGACTTGAAGCGTTCGGATGGAGATCCGGTCCACTGGTGTTCGAGTTCCCAGTTCTTGTCTCTGGTACAAGGGGTCGTCAGGCTCCGCCCACGGATACAGCTCTCAATGCGACTTCCTCGTGTGGTTTCATTCAGCTCCTCCACACACCTCACGTCCAGCTCCATGATCTTTTCCACAACGATCTGGGCAACCCTGTCTCCCTTGTAGATCCGGAGGTCAACGTCGGAGTGATTCTTGAGGAGCACCTTGATTTCCCCTCGGAAGTCTCTGTCTACCACTCCAGCACCCGTCTCAATTCCCCTGATTGCAAGGGATGACCGAGGGGCTATCCTCCCATAGCTTCCTGGTGGCAGTTCCAAGGCAATTCCGGTCTTCACCAGGACGCTGTCTCCGGGAGGCACCATCGTTTCGATGATCGAGTACAGGTCCAGCCCTGCAGCATGCTCCGATCCTCTGGTAGGGATCTTTGCTTCTGTTGAAAGTAGCTTCACTCTGAGCTCCTCCCTCGGGGCGAACCACTTCCGAGCTCCTGCGGTGCCCATCCTGAACACAATGTCCCCGATGATCGCGATTGCAGCCGTGATGAGAACCACTATCCACCACTCGCTGCTTCCCCCTTCGGTCGAGGTGCACACGTGAAAAGGCTGGCTGCAGCGACCAGAACTCCCAATCCTCGAGCCAGTCTCGGGTCAGGGGTTCCTCCACCAAAGTCGATCTTCTTCATGTCGATCGGTGCATCCTCACTGACCCTGTTCATCTCCAGGGACTTCTTGAAGTTCCTCAGCGGCTGACCCGTCAACTGCTTGGTCACGCCGTCAGCGACCAACTCCTTCCCTGACACATGGCTCAGTGACACCTCCTTGGCTCTCAATGCCTCTGTCAATCCGGCTGCTCTGATCCTCAGATGTCTGGTCCTCCACGACGAAGTAGTACCCGCTGCTATCGCGATGGCAGCCGTAGAGTCCGAGTTCAGGCTCAGCTCAGCCTTGACCTCAAAGACAGCCTCCACCAGCGCGCCGATTGATCTTGCCACCACCAGACTTTCGAGGAGTGACATGAGCTCGGCTTCGGCTGTTGACAGCGTTATGAAGGCCTGTCGTGATGTCTGCCACATAATCGGAGTTCCATCGATGCTGGCCACAATCCCAGTGAGACTCTCGAGGTCCGACGATGCATAGGAAGCGTCCGAATACACCTTGATTTCCTTCAGCTTCTCAGAGATTGACTCCTGTTCTCTCAGCCCTCGGATGATCAGGCCCTCGTCTCTGGTCTCGTAGGTAGGCCCTCACCTGCCTGCCAATGGCTGCCACTCCTCTCGGTCTCTTCGTTGACCACTGGCACATAGTGGCCACATCTTCGGCATTCGGGGCGCCTTCCTCGTCCGGGTCTTGATCTGTCCACTTTCTTCATACTCCAGGAAGAGGTTCTCCAGGTATGCCCTTTGGTGCAGGATGAAGTTCTTCCCTTTCTTCTCGATCTCCATGCCCAGGAACCTGACGGGTTCTCCTCCCTCCTGGATCCATGAAGGTTCCCCGATTTTCCAACTCTCCCGGATCTTTTCGTGGATGCCCTTGACGACCGCCATATTTCCAGCAATGAGGATGTCGTCGACATACGTGGCGCACAGTCCCACCATCTGCCATTCTGCTTCTCCGGCTCTTCTTCCACGGACTGCCCACATGTCATCCTGCGCCGTCTTCACCACCTTATAGTCCACACCCCCTTCGTTCCAGCTAAACTCCCGAAAGCAGCGATCACGGTGCAGGCACCAGTCCTTCGGAGATGTAGCCAACCCGTACAGGGCCTTGCGGACCAACCACAGTTCCCCAGGCTGCTGCAGAACTTGAGCTTCTCTGAAGATGCGGGGTGGTTCCACGATGACAATCCCTCTCTCCGCTGACTCGTTGACCGGGGCATTCAAGAAGGCGGTCTTCACATCCACCGTCGACACTGTCCAGTCGTAGAGGGCCGCTGCCTTTAAGAGCAACCTCACTTCGCATCCTCCAGCTCCCGAGGCGAAGGTGTCCTCGTCGGATTTCGCCTTCGCGAAGTTCCCGCAGGCTACCCCTCTACACTTGTGTCTGCCCGAGCCGGCCTTCCGGCTGAAGATGGCCTTCGCCGTCACCAGAGCCCCATACTCCTCGAGCATTGATGGTTTCCACTCTGACATGTTCTTGCGAACCTCCGCCAGCCCGACGATGCGAGTCTGTAGGAACTCCTGGCCGTTCCCCAATGCCTTCTCGGCTGCGGCGAGCTGCTCATCCTCAATCTCCGCCGTCAATGCCTTGAGAAACCGCTCGTTATCGACCTCCCCATCGTCCTCCTCCAAGAGATTCAGCTCTTCAGCAAGTAGTCGAGCTCCCCGAAGGTGCAGCTCCCCCCAGTCTACTGCCTCAGCGTCCTCTCCAGGACCATGTAGAAGCTTCAGGCTCTTCCTTGATCTTCTAGGTCTCTTCTCCGGCGGTTCTGGATCTTCTCGTTCATCAACCTCATGCAGGAATCCAGCCTCTCGCTCCGGCAACTCGAGCTCCTCCGGGGCCCCCTTCACATGGATGATGTCTCCAGTATGAAATAGCTTGCCGGTGGAAATCTCCTGCACCAAGTATCCCGATGTTGTCAACGACATCGTCACTGCTGGGCAGAGTACTCGAACCTGGGTCCTGGTGGTCGACAGGTACTTCCTCCTGTCGCTATACAGCTTCCGCTTAGCCCACACCACCTGCCCGAAGGGTGCCAGCTCCCTCCTCTTCCAGCCCATTGACTCCAGCTGACGTCGGAGTCGGCATTCTGCCCAGTGTCTCGAGGCATGACACCAATGGCTCTCATCCAGGCCCGCCTCCAGAAGTAGGGTTCTAGCACCTCTCTTAACTTGTGCAATTGCACCTTCCACACGGCCATTGCCTCGAAAGTTGTCTCCATCGGTGAAGGTGCGCCACAGACCCCTCCTTCGACACCAACGGTCGAACTTCTTGGATTGGAACTCACCTGCGCGGTCTGAGTGGAGACGAAGGAGTGGAAATCCCAAGAAGGTCAACTTGGCCGCCATCCTGCCCACCGCCTCTACCACTGCCGGCCCTCTGCGGTTCTCCAGGATCTCTACCATCAGCACCTGCTTGACCTGGAAATCATGCTCCTGCCCCACTCTCTCCGCCCAGGCCTTCTCATCGTCCAGGCCCGGCCACTTCTTCTCCTCCTGCGCGTCACCATCCTCAACCACGGTGAGCTCTGGCCCATCTCCCATGGCTCCGGCCAACTCGTCGTCCTCGTTGATGGGGATGATGGACTGGCCCTCCTTGGTCGCCGGGGCCAGATAGACGCCAACCAGCAGGTGCCTTCCCTTCCGCAGTTGATCCTCGGCCAACTCAAACGGTCCGGCAGCATCTATCGATAGAGTATAGGCGTCTGCGTGGGGGATGCGTCTGTGAGCCCGTCCTCTAGAGGCAGCGACAACACAAGACTTGCATTCTCTATTGTACGGTATATGACCGTTGAGGAGATGTCTCTTCCAGGCATCCAGGTCCAGCTTCTTCATCACAGAGTCCTTCTCCTGCAGTTCCTCTCGCACTGCCACGACTAAAGCGGCCTTGAGGCCGGGCGCCCCCAGGATCTCGACCGTGCGATCCTCTCTCGAAGGGACTCTCCAT